AGGAGCAGCAAAAACGTGCGTGCTGCTTCATTTTTGATGCTTGTTCAAGTTTAGTTCTGACGCGCAGCTGAAGAATCTTTGCTGCTCTAGCTGCGCAGTAGTAAAGTGGGTCTGATGCGCGTTGGGCGGAGCTACCCTATCCTTTCTTTGCCTGGAACAATGGCAGCTATATTTGCTGTGATCAGTGGTTAAAAAGTAGTTTGAATCTATGTTGAAGTGAGAAAGTCCTCCTGAAAACATGGTCTGTGCAGTCAGTTCATCCAGATTACCATCCTGCCTTCAAAGATTATTTCTCTGTGGGAGCCGCTCAGACCCCCACATACCGGCGGTGCGCTGTCACTGGGAATCCCCAGCAGCAGCTGCCTCAGGCCCGCTCACCTCTTGGGGGTTTTCTCCTACTGTTGGTGGCGTTTTTCACATACATAATCCAAACTGTTAATTTAGCCATTAATAAACTGTTTCAGAGGAGTGATCATAGCGCTCTGGATCAGCAGTGCTGTGTCTGACTCCCTGCTAGCTCCCAGATTAGCTTCTCTGATTGGTTGATGTGGCGCGTCCAGCAGCTTAAGTTCAATTTTTTCAACTCCAGCAGCTGCTGCTTCTGAAGCACCTGAGGAATTATTCCCATCCTCCTGGGAATAATACCTCACAGTAGCAAAGGGTGCATGGAGAGAAACAACTGAAGACAAAGCAGGGAAGACCAGAACTCAGCAGGATTATCTTTGGTCAGTCCCACAAAAAGTGGACCTTTAAACAGAACAAGCAGTTACACCTTCATCTTAAACCTTCAATAGTTTAAGAGGTGCCAAAAAAGAAATACAAATACACTGTCATCTTACTTTAGTAGAAATGTTTGCTATTTACACTTTACAGGAGTCATTTTTTTTTCTACTCCTTACATTTTAAGCACGGACTCGTTAGTTTTGTTTCCTTTAAGCTCATTTTCATTGTGGCCTGTTGGATTTATAAACAAAATGAAAACCATCAAAATAATCCGTTTCTTCAAGACAATTAATTTCTCTGTGGTTGGACACGGTGCTGCCCCAACTTGTTGCTCACCCCATACCAAAATAGATACGTTTTTCCAGATGATGCGAAGTTAAATGTGAAGCTGTTACCATTAGTTATAAAACTAAGAAAATAAAGCCTAAGGAAGTTATCATCCAGAATGGTAGAACATTTTTCCTTTAATAGGATAGAGCAGTGAAGCTTCTGGTCTTAACGTTTTTTTCTGCATTACTTTTATACTTTAAATAGTTTTAAAATGGCATTTTTACACTTTTACTGGAGTAATAAGTTGAACTTGATCCTCTAACTTCTACAAAAGTGTTTTGAATCAATCAGATCAATACTGGGGCGTGCAGGTGGCGCAGCGGATAGCACGCACGACTCATGTATGGAGGCCTTGACTCTCGATGAGGCCAACCCGGGTTCGAATCTGACCTGTGGTCCTTAGACACATGTCTCTCCTCTCTCTCATACCACTTTCCTCTCAGCCTACTGTAAAAACTAAAGAAAGATTTATACTGGAGTAATAAACATGAATACTTATGATTTTAATTTTTTTCCCCCAGAGTTTAAACAAACCAGTCTGCAAATCTGGGATTTAAATGACCTCACTGTGCCGACAAAGGAAAACAGGAGGTGGCTGTTTTGAACATTTCAAGAGTTTTTTAGCACTGAATTCATTGGCTGTAAAACCTCTGACCAGTTCATTGCCAGGGCAGCTATATAAAAACGGCTCGGATATTTTCTTAAAGGCAGCATGGATCCAGAATTCCTACAGCTCCTCTCCCTCCAGGGACAGCCTTCCTCACCAGAAGCTCAGGGTTTGTTCTTTAAATCACCAACTTTTAAAACAACATTCAGCTGTTTGTGTTCCCTTTTTCTAAAAGTAAAGATTAGACCAGAAATGAACCAGAAACCAGAACAAACGCCACTGGGTCCCACTGACAGTCAGGCTTAAACTGGCTTTTTATTGATAATTTACCAACGTAACCAATTTATAAACCGCTGAAGGAAAATCAATACAAACATAATTCTCATGCAATGATTCCCAACAGACAAAAAGAAAATAAAAACGGGAACAAAAACTTGCAGAATGATTCAGTTTGCAAACCGGCCACCAGAGAGCGGAAGTGTTCCAGAACCGAGTCACATCAGTGACAGGGTCTTCCTACACGCCTTAAGCAGCATGAGCAGGGTTATCCTGAGGTCAGGAGGTCAGGTCCAGCAGCTGGACAGGTTCTCCACACCCAGCCAGAACTGGAACATGGGAGGACTAGCGTTGAGCAGTTGGATCGCCGCTCGCCTCGCTCTGACACCTGCTGCTGTTCGACACACTGCAGAGTCGCAGAAACGGAAAACCAGAAAGCAAATTTCAACTTAAATATAAATCAGGTCAACTTGGCCCAGTGGTTTGACCGTGCAGCATCACCATCTGCAATCTGTTTTATCTTTACAGCCTCTTTAAATTCTTTAAATAAATCCAATAAAACTGTATTAATGCTAAAAGATGCATGAGATGAAAACAGGCTAATCAGCTCTTCTTCACAGGCACTCGTTCATTTCGGTCCCTTCAGGATCACACTAAGGTGGCAGACATGACCGAGCGCCAAGGCCACGCCACCAGACCGCGGCTGTGACCGTTATTTCCAACATGGCAGCAGCTCTTTGCTTGGTTAGTCTGAAAAAATAACATTTAATAAGAAATTATTTGTACGAAAGTCCAAATGTTAAAAAAGGTTCCCGGCGAAGCACCGGATTCTTTAAAAGCACCAGAAGGTTTGGCTCTCGGCTCCGGTTCAGTGGAACTCCACGAACTCCTCCAGCGTTTTGGGGATCTGGTTGCGGTAGGTGATCTGGTGCTGTCGGACGGCGCGCGCCGCCAGGCACTTCAGGCTCATCTTCATCTGGGTCTTCAGCAGGATCTCCGACACGCCCGTGGTGCTCTTGTCCAGCGGCGTCTTCTTTTGCTTGTTGGTCATGTCGGTGTGGGCACCGGCCTCCACCAGGTTGATGATGATGGCGTGTAGTGTGAGGAAGTCACTGATGGGTCGGTTGTACTGGACGATCACATGGAGGGGGGTGTTGCCTTCGTGGTCCACGGCGTTGACCTGAGCCCCGCAGTCCAGCAGCAGCTTTGTCACCTTAGCGTTGGGGAAGCTGCAGACGTCGTTGGTGTGGAAGTCGTCGACGGGCGTGCTGGAGCTGATGGCCAGGTGGAGCAGAGAGGAGCCTTCGCGCGTCCGCGGATCCAGCTGGATCAGGTCGTAGATGTGCTTGTTGATCCTGGCACGCTCCTCATCGCTGCAGTTGGTCTTGGTGGAGATGCAGGCCAGGTAGAGGAAGGTGAAGATGTTGGACTCGTAGTTGTCCATGGTCTGCGACAGCTCGGACTCTGCCGCCGCATCGACCCGAGCCATGCTGCGCTGGATCTCCAGGACGCTGCAGCTCAGGACCTGCTCCACTGCCGAGGCCAGCACCGCCTCCTTCAGGTGGACCATCTGGGAGAAGACCTGGGCGAAGCGCAGCAGATCTTTGTGCGTGTTGCGGTTCCCTTTCTGCCGGAGGCGAAGAGCGTGCAGCCACAGCTTGATGCACTGCTCGAACTCCATGTTGTCGGCGCAGACGGCCCCTCGATAAATGATGGGATGAGACAGGTCGATGTTGTCAGAGCCCATGATGCGCTCCCGAATCATGAGGCCCTCCATGTGCAGGGCGTCCCTGTCCACCCGGATAGCTTCCAGCTGCTGGAGCGTCCGACACTCGCTGCGTCCTCCGTAAGCCTCGATGGGGGGCAGCAGGTCTTTAAGGATGAGGTTGTCGGGGTCTCGGTAGCGCTCCGTCATGGCCATATGGAGGTACTGATATGTTTTTTGTATGTTATAGTTCTCCCTGTCGTTGGCAAAAGAGGCTCCCAGCAGTTCCAAGGCCTCGATGCGGCTGTGAGGGTCACAGTCAACGTGAGCCATCAACAGCTCCACCACATCGGCCTTACAGCCCTCCGCTGCCACCTTTAGCGGCGTCATGCCGTGTCCGTTCGTCGCCATGGCAGCCTTGGAGTTCATCAACTCCTTCACGATTTCCAGGTGGCCCGCCTCTGCTGCGAAGTGCAGGGCCGTGGCCCCGCAGTGAGCCTTGGCGTTGACGTCAGCCCCCTGGGCCAGCAGGAACCGGACCACGTCCACGTGGCCCCTGTAGGCGGCGATCATCAGGCAGGTGTTGTTGAACTTGTTGGTGATGCTGATGTTGGCGTTGTGCTCCACCAGGTAACGGACGATGTCCAGGCGGCCGTCGAAGCAAGCGGCCCGGAGGGGGGTGGAGTTGGTGATGGTGGTGTGGTTGACGTTAGCACCGTGGGTAACCAGCAGGTGCACCACCTCAAAGTGTCCCGCTCCAGCGGCACACCACAGAGCCGTGGCCCCGTCGATGATGTAGCTGGGACACAAAGGAGAGAACAGATCAGATTTACAGCCATCGTTGTTAGAACTTGTGATTAAGCAGCAGATCAAACTTTCCTCTGTGAACAATTAAACACCATTTCTTATTTAAATCAAAGGCAGAAGGTAAACCAGGACAGATGGACATTAGTCTCTTTGGGTCAGATTTCAATCTTTCTCTTTGAGAAGAGTTTTTTTTTTTTAAGTAGGGAAGTGGAAATAAATTAAATAATCATTCAATCTAAATTTGGCTTCAAACGACCATCAAAGAACCACATATTCTTTACAGTTTTTGTTGGTAAATTCCTTTGCGGTAAATTCCTTTGCAGGGAGACAATCTTTTTTCTGGACTGGGCAGGAAGCGTAGTGCAGCCTTGATAGGAAAGTTTAGCTCCAGGAAAGATTAGGATTATATTCCAAATGCAGTTAACGATCCTGCCCTAATTAACGCCCAGCAGTACAGAGTTTCTTCTGGACAAGTGTAGAAAACTGGAAGAAAGGGTTTCTTTCCATTTCATCCATAAGAAACTAGAAGAAAGTCCTGCTAATAGATATAATGAAGAACTGCTTCCACTGAAAAGTCAACTCACTATGAGAAACCTACCAGAGAAAACCCATCAGGGATTTTCATATGTAATACAGAAGTGATCATTTACTAAAAGCCATTAAACGGCAGGAAAAAGTTTTCTTCTTTACCCAGATTTCACCACCTGGTTTTCTTTTTCTTTCATTTCTTCTGCTCTTCATACCCCCAAGATCAGATCCAGTATCGGGTTCTGATATAAAGCTATGGATGGTTTAATGGAAAGGTTTAATTCAACATGCAGACATGTGTGATCCATAAGCTATGTCTGTGCTTTTGGTTGCCCTGCTGGCCAGCAGCTAACAGTGGGACACTTCTCCTGCTCTGTGAATGGACCAGCCACTGATAAAGCAGAAACTAACTATAGAAACCTAAAATAACAAATAATAGTCCAGCAGGACATGGTTACCTTTCAGGCATACTTTGCATGTAACCAGATTGAGCTACTGGTGTAAGCATTTTAAAAAACCTCATACAACGTGCCTCTGCCTTTTAATCCAGAGGAAAACACTTTTTTTTTTTTTTTTAAGATGCCACTTTCCTCACAGTCTCACTAGAAGGACAGCAAAGTGAGAGGGCAAAGTCTGATGTTTCCAAACCCGTTTTAGTGAGGCAGAGGCTCCGCCCGGCAAACAGGCTCAACGTGATTCAGTTACGTAATAAAAGACGAACTCTATGGCTGCTGTGACAGTAGTGAGTGGGTGTGAACAGCCGGACCTGACTGGTGAGTTTCAGCACCCAGGGTAGCAACCCTTGGTTTCAATGGTGGCCTATTGAACCCATAGTATCAGTCCTGAGAGTCGATATAGGCCAACACCTCAGCTGCTGGTTAGCTGCTGGTTAGCTGCTGGTTAACTGCATCAGACAGAGGAGGATCTTTAACTGCTTAGAAAGAACAGATTCGCTCCACAGCTGGAATTTACATTCAGTCCAATCTTTAGATCTTAATTCCCATCAACCCGTCTAGAATGCAGCTAAGTTTCTGCCTTATTTAAAGGAGAAACTTATTCAGAAAACAAACTTCTGAAAGAACTTTAAATATGAAATTATTCCAAACTGTTTAATAAATGATCAGTGTTTTTAATTCAGAGTAATTTTCCTGTAAATGTGCTTTACTGGAGGCATCCATGTTTGTCAAAGAACACTCC